AAGCGTTCTAGATAGTTCAGACGATTCTGTAGACCTTTGTATATTTTAACATCGTTCTATTACTTATACAATTCACTTAAGTTGAAAATGTCTTAAAATAAAATTGAAAATCTTATATCAAAATAAAGAAGATATCAATTCAACAACTGATTATTGATTGTTCACTAAATAATTGCGCCGTTTATCATTGCTGACTCTCATTAGGCTACTATTTATTGTTGAAAATCTTATATAATTTACCTTACAAACTTATAATTTTCTTGCGCTATGATTATATAGATATAGATTTGTTTTCAAATAGTTATATAATACAGATCATTTTCTTAATTCTTGCAAAATTACCGATATTTTCTGTTAAGGAGGAATGTCGTGAATGATGAATCCTATTTTTTATTATATTTATTATCTAGCGTAGTCTTATTATTTTTCCTAAAGTCATTTATTACACCGGGTAATAGTCTTTGTTGAAGCTAATTCGAGGAATGAATGGCGATTGTCGGAAGCGACGTGTTAGAGGAAAGGTCGCATCTCTCGTGGCGTCGAGTGACAAACACGTAACACGCGAAACCTTCTTCAGCACTTCCTCTCAGGTACGTTCCTCAGACCCTTTCTCTCTCATTTGTCTCGTTTATCGTCCTTCTAACTCGCCCGCAATTCTTCTACATGTCTACAGCAGTTTATGCGAGCCATGCCGCGTTTACACAAGCCAGCGGGAAGTCGAGTGGCTTTTTAGATATAATAGATGGCAATAGAAGGATGTAAGCGAGCTGGTCACTCTAGATCTCTTGGTCTAACAGTTTTGCGGCAGAATAGAAAGGGTGTATCGAATTCTATTTTCAACAACAATTTGCACATAAATCTTTTCTAAAAATCCAATATGTCAAGAATTTATCGAATTAACACTGAAATGTCTGAAGATCTTTCAGAAACTGAGAATTTTAATTTCCCCGGCGAATTCTTTAAATAATTCAATAATTCTTTAATTTAATAATTCTTTAAATAATTTACTTGGATACTATCTATTTTCTTTACAAAGAAAATAGATAAAAGATGTTTCTAAGAGCAAAGATGTTTCTAATAATTTAAAGTATTTCATAAATTGTCAATTTTAGCTAGCAAAATTTTATACTTTGCTTAATTTTATGAGAATTTTAATTAATATCTAGAAATTTTGTTTCAAATTTAATTCAGAGTTATCTATAATCTATTATTAATTTAAACAATGGAAAAAGATTTGGAAAAGTATTTTACCTTTTGCCGTAGGAAGATTGATTTCAAATTAATCAAAAAGAGGGAAAGATACAAATATAAATATTTGCAGAAATATTTATATTTAAAATTCGAACTGATCTATAAAATCCTCTAAAATGTTTCTGTCCAAACATTAATCTAGTCTATCGATTTCATATCTTTGTACTCTCAATCGATTGCATCCCTATGAAATTGTATTGTATGTAAGAATGTTAAATTTACAGCGTTTTCCGTTAGACAGATAACAATAAGGAACAGAACAAGATTCACTGTTTGTATCTATCACTTAATAAACTGGAAATGTGGCAATAAGATATAATCGGATCCTAACCTTCTCGGTGAACTCTTCTCCTCCCTTTTTCCGAAGTGGCAATGGCGATGATGCCGATGGTGAGATATGAGACAGTCGTCAGGGTTTTTTTCTGAATTTCCTCCGGCAAAGTAGTGATAAAATGATACAATAGTATACAACTCGTAATTTTCTTTCCACACCTTCGGAGACGTCGTCGATTTATTCCGCATGTTTATCGATTTGCCGCATTTTTTTTCTGTAATGTGCCTCGGGCGATCGATTGATGGATCGTTTCGTCTAAGACATAAAAGTATTCAGTTAAAAAAGTGACATTTTTCATCTACATATCTTTTTGCGTTGTTGCGCGAAATAACATCTAGTAGTATAAATTAAATTCGACGTGCGAATGTTTTCGTTAGATTTTCCGAGAAAATTACGAAAGCGATGTTTATATGAAAAATTGCTACAATTGTATTTGTCTTATAAAATTTTATAGTCATGAAGAATATCTAAAAAATAATATTATAGATTTTAATATTCTAGATTTTTATGATAGATTTAGTAACAAATTAAATGTGTGTACTTTAATAAATTATTAGAATGTTATCAATTATTATTACTCTAAACTCCTGAAAAATGAAGCATTAAGAATTATTATTAAAATCCAAAATTTAATATTTTATAATCTATTCAAACTGTGGTTATTGATGAGATTTCATGTTGAACATTGAAAAGTTGTAATAAAGTAAATAATAAAATGCTTCCCTCAACTCTTTCTGGAATTTCAACTCCATCGAAAAATTCGTTATTGGAGCTGAAGTAAAACAAAGTCAATAGTTCTGGAAAACCTTGCTCTCGATTTATATTGACTGTATGCCAATATAATTAAACATTACGCCCGTAAAAGCTTACATTATTGCATTGTTTACGCATTGATATTCGCGGTTATCCGCCAGTGCTACCGCAAGACGTTTATCCGAACCGCAAAGCTGTGGCCACAAATATTTCAATTTGTTACATCAGTGGCCGCAACGGAAAAGTGCTGTCGTCTAAATATTTGCCGAGCACTTCGGCAGTAAAAGTTACGCGGGCCTCGCGATTATTTGTTTCTTCATGCTCGTGGGAAGCCGCGGAACGTAGCACGCATCTGCATGCTCACGAGAGGAGTCTCTTTCTTGTCGTGTGAATCGGTGCAATGTACGCGAATGTCGAAAGTATTAAACGCGAAAATTGTTAAACTTCATTCATTTTTATATGTAAATTTATAAAAATAAAAAAGTAATTAGTAATTAATAGTCTCTTAAATCAAAAGAGATTCAAGCGTATTTACGAATGTGCAAAATTTAATAACACAGAATCTATTTTACAAAAAAAATTTATTATTTCTAATTAAAAATTGTTTTGAAGAAACGATGTACTAAAATAATCCGTAATAAATATTTAAGGCATTCAAGACAAAAATTTTTTCTTATTATTGCATGTTTCTTAAAATGCAAAAAATATGCTTTTATGAAACTTGTTAAAAAAGCATATAAAAATGAAATAAAAGTGAAGAATAGAAAATTACTTCTTAAAATAACTACCGTTACTATGTCAAAATAGTAGGTAGTTACCATTACCGTTACGTCAACATTAAAAAAGTCAATTTGTTATTATCCCGTTACTTTCTTAATGCTGAAATAAGATGAAGAAAATAGGCTAACAAAATTTTATGTTTTGTTTACGTTTTAATAAAATCAATCATATCAATGAACAAAAATTTAAAGAAGAAAAACATGAAGATTTTTTACTGACAAATAAAACATTGAAATTGTTGTTTTTGCACCAATAAAACATTTTCTTCATTAACCTTGCATTAAAGATAATATTTCATTGATACAAAAAAAAAAAACATTGTTGGAAATAATCATTTTTTTCAATTTTAAAATTATAATTCAGAAAAATGTATTTAGTTAAAACAAGTAATTCTTTTTCTGTGTACATTTTAATAAACAGATGAAAACATAAAGTTAATTCAACATTCCATTAAACAGTACAATCTACTGCAATCACAGAGATGTATTTCAAACAGAATTTATATATTTTGAGATAGTTTTATTATAATCATTTATAATGAAAGAGTCAACACACAGGAGCATAGTCTGCTCATAACAATGCTATAATCATTCGATAAGTTGCATGTCTCTTATTGTCATGGCGGGTATCGAACAGCGTGTGTGAACAGCCTGGGATCTGAAAAATTCTTACGATCCTTTCCATTCTATACGGGGCAAGCACTTTGCATAACATTATACAGAGAACGCTCTCGTAAGAAAATTATCGCGAACAAAGCGCGTGGCTGTTATTGGTCCCGGCGAGTTAAACATATACTCTCCCGTCTCATACATTCTTCCCATTAATTAGCCTCGAAAAAGCGGAATCGTGGCGCCAGCTAGTGAATCACTCAAACTATACGTTACGCTGTTCGACTTCGCCTATTTCAATAATATGCCGCAGGCGGTGGAATAAAATTATCGCCGCAGCGCCGGCGCGTGTATAGACGCACTTACGTAAACCGCGCGTCTGTCCGACTTTGCGTGTCCGTGCATAAGTAATATGCGTGTATTGCACCTGCGTAGCTTATCGGTATATGCACACGCAACGGCGCCAAGATACGTCCAATACGCACAGTAATACTCCTGCAAATCTCATTAAAAATGCTGAAGCAATCAATCATATCGGCGAATCTTGAAAACCCTGACAGAATCCAAATTCTGCTTTCTGTGTTTGAAAAAATTTTGTCTTCTCTTTCTTTGTTATTTTAAGAAATTTACGTATGAAATTGAAGAAACATAGTTTGATGATAAGTTAAATATTATCTTACAAGAATCGAATTCTGATGAAAAATTTAATTTCATATTCTAACTTTTTCTTCTCTCTATTTTCATTGTTTATTGTAATAAAGTATTTGAGAAAATACGTTTAGAATGGTAGATATTATTTTTTTAGTGATCTCGTTCGGAGAGCATTTTATTTCTACATTTTCTTATGTATCTTTTTCATTTAAACTGAAAATTACCATAATAATGACACTACAATCAAAGCAAAATTAGTATGTACATGGAAGTTAATAAAATCCTTATTCACGTCATTACGAAATCGCTGTCAGTTATATTTCAATCATTTAAAATCTAATTTAAAGTTATATCAACAACTATGAATTAGTTTTTAAATGATTGAAGCATAAATGATAGTGATTTCGTAACGATATGAATAAGAATTTTATTCTTTATTTCAATATACCAATTTTTCTTTGAATGCAACGTTATTATTATTATGATAATTTTCGGTTTCCATGAAGAAAAATAAATTAGAACATGTAAAAATAAATTAAAAAATGTAAAAGTAATCACAGAAAAGTGAAAGTTGTACACTTTTATGTAAAAGAAATTTCTATATTAGAAAAATCTAACGATTTTTAAGAAGAAGCATGATCGCCTGCAGCTTCCAACTGTTCGTTCTCGACTATGTCAGCTTCTCGGCAGCTATCAAGACGTTCAATCGCGTGTACCAAATGTTTCTTCAACTTGCTGAATTCTTTGGTGGACGTCATTTTAGTTAACGTCGTGGGCTTCGTATCCAGATGACTCGTGGATTTTCTCGAAGTGGATCGTAGAAAAGCGCTCAGGCTGACATCAGCGATTTCTTCCCAGTCCTGAGAAATCGAACGAATATTTATCGGAAAAAAAAAAGAAATAGAAGAAAACAGCACCGGCACATTGCGATTACAATGTAAACAATATTTCTTTATGAACGACAGTACAAACTGGCCAATCTATATTCCTTCCAAATGATTAATCGAAATTATATTTTTAATAGTCGGACATATTTTAGCCACTTATTGTTAGAACGAAGAGATTGAATTGCGGGTCGCCATAATACTTACGAGTTCGTCGCACAGCTGCGGATCGAATCCGATCGCGGCTTCGAGCATCGCGTACTTATCGTCGTTTACATTGAGCCTCAACAACAGGAGCAGTAACCTCACGACGCACCGCAGACCGTGGCCGGCGCGTTCCCGTTCCTGCAACAACCCAATTACTGCGTTACATCACGCCGCATTGACGGACTGCACGTCGCCAATCTGTCCGGATAATGCGAACCGAGATTTAGGTCAGGAATTGAAACCAGTAATTTTTTGACGAGGTCAGGCACTCCTTTTTAATTTTTTTTTTTTTTTACATTTATTAACCGTTTATATTTTCTACAATATATTGAAGAAGTCGAAACGATTTTAATTGATATTAGAATAGATTGTTAGTAGTCCTCATTGTTAGAATATTCTTCGACAGGAGGTCGATTTTTTTAGTACGAGTAGTATACCTAAAAGTATACCTAAATACTTGCTCGTTAACGTTAACTTCATTTACGTCAACATTTATATTCCCGCAACAGTGGATGGAGATATTACTCTCGTATTTGTTACTTTCTCCGGGATTAATAAATTATTAATAAATTATTATTAATAAATTATTTTAATTTAATTTCTCGATCGTTCTCAGCATGTCGGCTGATGGATTAACTTGATGGCTCCTTATAGAATTCAAATATACAAAGAAGATGGAAAGAAACTGATTTTGAAGATTATGAAATTATAAAGTAAATACATATCGATAATTTTATGTTTGCCTGCACTGAAAAAATTATTAAATCTTAATAAATATTTGTTTGATTAGTAAGTATTTACTAATTATTTGATACAAAGATTATTAATTTAATTTAGCTGCCATTTTTATTGAGTAAACATTTATTTACTGTAAATGTTTACTTACAATTAATACTATTCAAAGAATTATGTATTAAAGTTTAGTAAATTGTTTTTTCAATTTAATTTTATGACATCGAAACGATTCTTCCTGTGTCGTTGTCTTTTACCCTTTATTATCTATCTAAATATGGCTCTCCCGCATATCGTGCGGATCGACATCGAATTCCCTTTCCTGGAATGCCATAAATCTCGCAAATAATAAGCCACTCGAGCGCGACAAGAGGGATCGAGTAACGATCACGAGCACGTTGATATAGTTTCGCGAAACCGCCATTGCATCGGTGCGATTGCCATCTCCGCTTCCAGATCGGCGCGCGATAAGACGTGGCGTACTCTATCGACCGCGATCGGTTCCGACTGTCAAGTGGTTCGCGTGTTTTATATTGCCGAGATTATGGTCGCCGCTCGCCATCGCTGTCAGCGTTGGGTGAATAAACGGAGGCAACTGCAGCGGACAACGTGCGCGACTTGCGAGCATTATCGAGCAGGTTCTGAGACTACATTTCAGTTGTAGTATTGGTTGAGAATATATTCATTACAATTTTCTGACGAGAATGCATAGAAATCGTAACTAGAGATTCTTTCCATTAATTACAAGTATATAAGAGAAATACAAATTTTTATATTAACTTCGACTTCAGAAAACAATTTAAACCAATTAAAGATCAAATTTTGTTGCCATATTTTTAATAACAACGAATTCTTACTGTTTTATTATTAAAAAATATTAAGATAGTGCAAGATTTAATCTTTTTAATGTAACAAATAGATTACAAATGATACTAACTGCGTAGGTAAAAATGATTAAAAGCGTGCTTATAAAAATTAAAAATAGTCAAAACTGTTTCAACAATTTTACGATAAATCTTACGAAATTAGATTTACGTTAAACGTACTTTACGTTCAACGTACATCTGATTAAGGGCTAAGATAGATCTCCGAACGAGTTCGCTGTAAAGAGAAAAGGATCAGTTGTAGGAGGGTTGGATATTGGTCAATTACCACTCGTGCGATCGCGAGATCGTCCAGAAGCGCGAAGATCGCACGATAGGTCGACTCCAAGAGGAACGGCAGTCCGGTCGTGCCCAGAGACCGAGTATTTCGCTCTCTCACGGCACGCAGCATCCTCCTCTCGATGTTTCTCAACTGGGTCGACAGTAGCTTGATCTCACTCTGTACTTGCGAACAAAAAAGTATGCTGAGGAAGAGAGAAACGAGTGTAATTAATCGATAGTAACGACGATGTTAATGAATTGGACGCCGCCAATGCCGTCAGCATCGTCAATTGATTGCGAAAAACTGACCTCAAATTTTATGGGAGCGACAAAATTAGAAGCTTTTAAGAGAAAAAGAGAGGGGGGGGGGGCTAAATAGAGAAAATAAAAATTCTAAGAATTCTCATACAGAATATTGTATAGATCTTTACATGGAAATGCTTAGCTTATCAAAGCTCCAGTTTTTTTACAAGATGGAAGTCGAAATTAAAATTGAAACTTTAATAAAAAGACGAGAGAAGGGCAAATATTTAGCAATTGGATTTTGAATTAAAAATAAAATAATATTACATATCTTATCTTAAATCAAAGATATAAATAAATAATTACAATTAGAAGCAACTTATTATGTTTATAATTACATTTAGTGTAATACGTGTTTGTATACATGAATGTATTTCTTTAAACTATTTGATCATTGTATATCAAAATTAAAAAGATATAGTTTGCATAAAAGACTTATTTAAATAAATTACCGCGATTTTGTCCACCTTCTGACGACTATGATAATGTGCCTCCATCTGAGACTGTATTAGCTGTATGTGATTTTGCGCGATGGCGGTCGTAAAGTTTCCGGTGGCCTTGTCTTTGAGCCTATTCATCAGCTGCTGTACCACCAAGGCCATCGAAAGTCCGTCATTTGATTGCACTCGATATCGATTGCTGGTAGCGCCGGAAACGATTGTCACCACACTGCCAGTTTGCAAGTGCTGCAAGCCAAGTACGTTCCAATTTTTCCTCTGTACTTCTCCTGTAAACTCTGCGAAGAATTATCGCGATTAAAATTTTGTCGCAAATTTCTCACATAATTTCAGGAGAAAACAATTAAATAAGAAAATTCAATTATTCAGTTAATTAATTCAGACGATTTTTACTAAGAGAAAAAAACTAAATTTTAATAAATATTTATTTGGATAATGCCAGATGAATATTTATTAAATGTAAACATATTTGGTACAAGAATCAAACCATTAGTTTGATTTAACCGTTATTATTTTTTATTTAGCAAATATTTATTTTCTGTAAATAAATATTAGTACTCTTCAAACAATTATTTATTAAGACCTAGTATATTTTTCTCTCCTAGTGTATTTTTTCATTATTATCTTTATTTAGCGTTTGACGACCTAAACAATTAATATTTAATTTTAACAATATGCAATAAATGTTTAAACTTCTTGTAATTATTTAAAAAATAGCTTAAATTTATTAAAACGTTTTTTATGATAGAAATTACAATTGAAAATTCTGGGATATCATTTGTGTAAGATTTGAAATAAGACATTGATATTTTTATGATATTTTTTATTCTTGGCGGTTTCATGGGAGGGAAGGAATTCACTTAACGAGAATTTTACCGACTTTAAATTACGAATCTACCAGGTGTGCGAGGCTTAAAGTCGAGGGGCCGATAAAAGGAAGAAAATGTGCCATGATTGAAGAGGTTCGAGTAAGGTCCCTGAGGCCCGCGATGTCTGATTATCGTATTAGATGGGCCGAGATGCCGCATGTTTAAACCACGAACGAGAGAGACTGGATTCCTTAATATCGCCGTTCGCAAACGAGACATCCTAATTCTCTATCCACAATTTCCTAGCCCGTAATTTCCGACGGGGAACAACGGGGGGAAATACGAGGTAGTGGAAATAAAAAAGATCCGTGAGATTTTTGGGGAATCCTTTACGACGATGGGACCAGCAGGGCGGCAACACAAAGCTGCCGTCTATAATGTCACATATGAAAACAACCAATTTCTCCATGACTCATATATCGATGACATTCATAAGAATTGTACATTATATTTAGATATCAATTGCATTTCTTTATCGAATTGATGATATAATTGCGACAATATCATATAACTTATACATACATATATCTATTTCATTAAAGATGATACGTATTGTCACTTTGTGACACACACATGAAGTTTTAAGAATATATATAATTTTATCAATTACGTCACACTATTTCTCTATGATAAATATGAAGATATAAACTTAAATCCTCAGAGAGAACTATTTGAATCTCAATATAATGCAATATTTGTAGTACACAATTTTTACAAGTTAAAATTTTAATTAAATCTAATAGGGGGGGAGGGGGGGGGTTGTAATAATGTTGTTGTATGAAACCACAGAAAAATTTCTCGGCAATAGATTCGAGAGGAATAATTTTATCGCGATTGCAGACCTGGTTACGAAAGACGAGAAAGGTAAGGGAGTATTATAAACGACGGTGCCGATAGATTTACCGGGAAACAGTTGGCTAAAAGCCACAAGGGACTCGCTGCATTTGATGGTCGCCGTGAAGGTGGATGTGTTCTCGGGTGGGCAGGCCCTCAGCATCATTTTCAGGGGTAATTGGGTCGTCTTCTGAAGTACGCGTAGGCTCCCATGATCCGCAGTCTCGTAGCTCGCCGTGATTCTCACGTCCGATGATATCGCCGGTAAATCCATCGTTGGGTAAATCATTGCGCGCAGAACGTGCCTGTCACCTTCGCATGATCAATTAGTGACATACTTAACGAATTAGCCGCTATTATTGACATTCTACAGCAATTCTGTCAATTCTTTTGATTATAAGAAATAGAAAAAAAGTAAGTATCATTGCGTGAAGAATATATCTTTTTCCAACAGCGTCATTCTATTTTTCGCGTTTTAATTTTATTCTGAAACTGCTATTTTCTTGTTCGAGTCTTTGCGCCATAAATATGTAACTTTACGTGACTTGCTTACAAAGGTTGGTAATAACGTGGCGATCCTTGTCGGCGACGAATGGCTTCGAGACGTCCACGCATACTTGAACATCGCGAAGCGTCATGTACGTGGACAATTCTATGGTGATCCTGCACATTAAATTACGATCCTCCGAGTCGTCCTTACTGTCGTCCTGGTTTCCGCGTGGACAGGGTTCCAGATCCGCAGATACGGTCACGGATATTATCAGCTCAGCGTCCATGGTGACATCACTGAGTTGATTGCCTTATAATTTTGATTATAAAATAATTAATGTCTGTAATAAAAGTCGATATATTTACATATATTCGGTTCTTATTATATTTTAAGATCAAGATAATCATCTTAAGTAATGTCTTAAGATGCTGATATCCTCTGATTGGATTTGTGACATCTTAAGATTGTATTTAAGACGATCTTATATACGAGAATCGATTATGAATATCAGCCAAAGAACTAAATTTTAATTATAGGTGATTTAGACTTTGAAGAGATTCTTGATAGACAACTTATTCTTTATATCGCTAATGATTGTTTTAGGTATATTGATGATTCATATTATGTTCATACCGGAAGCCTTATTTTTCTTCGCTAATTTGCGCAGCTCTATGAGCTCATCTTCGGCGGCCACGTAATCGTAACCGCGTCGATGCAGAGGAGGCGCGATAAATAACGACGGTTCCGAGCCTAAGTAACAAGCCTCCAGCTGGCCCTCTTCGGAAAGAATGACGATCACTCCATCTAAGTGCTAAAAAAAGAAATATTAAACTCTAGATTACAGTTGCATTGCAAAAGAAAAAAATCAACCCTAAATTGGTCAAAGAAACTGTAGATAAAAAAAAGGAACTGCGGGAGACCTGGAATGGCCTGTACATCATAGTTATTATCCTGCGGATGTGCAAAAGCAATATGAGAGCTAAATTAAAGACCTGCTCGTAAAAGTGATCTGACCTTTCAGATTAAAAATTAAAGTAATTCGAGTACGGTGGTATACTTTTCATCTTTTTAGCTATTTTATTATTAATTACAAACTTTATTTCTCTTCATTTTAGAGAAAAATGCATTAGATTATCGTTTTTTTTTTGCGTGTGAAACTTCAGTTCAAGCGCTTAGTTTATAGCAGGTTCTTTTCATAACAGCAAGCTGAAAGGCTATTTCTGCTTTTGTCATTACGCGAGATAAGATAAAAATAATCATTCGTCGCTATTTTCATACTGACGTCCGGCTGATTTAGGCGTTTTCTAAGCGTTTTTCTCATGTCGATGCGGAACAGCTCCAGTTGCCGCGACGATAGTTCGCTGATTAACGAATCGGAGTTCTCGGTATTAAGCTAATTAGCCAGCAATTCGCGCGCTCTGTGTCCTCCGGAAAGACAACAATGGTAACCTTGCTGGCCGCGTGCTAGCTGTGGCAGGACGATAAGATAAAACCAGGGTGATAATTGCCGACTCTTCATCCTTCCCTGCACTCTTGCGGTTTTTTCCTTTCCCGGTCTTTCATTGGCGACGCCGATGATAAAAGCCTTGAATGTTTCTTTCGATCGTCATTGCCACGTTAGCTCTTCGCTTTTATCTTCACTTCTTTTTTTCTTTCGTTTTGCGGTTTCAAAAATTCTTAAATGAGAACAATCCATAAGATGGTCAAACGTGTTCTCAAACAATTTGATTATCGTTTTATATATGTGTTGACATTTGACACGATCTTCACAGACAGATAAAAGAAAAAACATAACTGTAATTTATAATTAACTTTGAATCTATAGCGAAAGACAGATAATATTTCCGTAAAATTTTTAGTGAAAAATTTTACTTTCATATAATAGTTTCTATATAATTGTATGTACATTATTAAATTTCGAGATACATTTTGCTTTATAATGTTTAGAGAATCTTAGGAGGAAAAACAAAATGTATAAGTTTCACAAGATTTGTTGTTATAGAAGCTCAAGATTGTTCTACTCTTCGTTAACTTCTTTAAAATGTGGAATAGAAGTTACATCAAAGAGGCTTCCGATAACAAGGACACGATAGATCCGTGCCTGACATAACGTTGTCAGAGAAACAACGGCTGGCGGTGCTGATAGTGCGACACGGAAGAGGATACACCGATATGGCGAAGGTCTCGGCTCGCTTCTTTGTCAAATGTCATCGGCTTTGATTGCGGACTATCATGGTGAATGTATGTAGATATATGCTCCATCGAGGTCTTCTTTCTTTCTTTCTTTCTGTTTCATTCCTTTTTCTAAAAGGAATTCTCCCATATTTTCTATGTGTCACTATCCAATATCCGGATAAGACAACCTTTCGAAAACTGATTATTTTTTATTTCAGTCTTTTCTCATTGGCAAAGTTACCTTGTCAAAAACAATATATCGACCATTTGTTATGTTGCTGTACCATTTCAATGCTATTAGAAATGAAATGATAAAATAAAAAGTCTGAATAGGCCAATAAATTAATGTGATCTCTTTGCTACGAACTTATAACCGAAGTTCTTCTTTTTAAAAAAAGTATATCAATTGTTATGTGTATAATATTATTACTTATTGCAAGATGATTAAACAAAAAATTGATTTATTCATTGTAAATATATAACGTACATGAAGTGTGTGAAAAAATTGTAATGTAATATTAAATAAATTTAATGTTATTAATTTAATGTTATGTTACAAATTAAACTTTTAGTGTAACAATTATTGATCGTAACACTTATTAATAATAGGAAACTGTTATGATATTAAACCTTGCTATTTCAAATAATCAAGAAAAATTATTGGTTTCTTTTAAATTTTTTTTCTCAAATGGCGCTATACTATATAATATTTTGAGGTGCCGCATCGAGCAAGAATACAAATATAGGCATTATGCAATTGATTACCTGAAAATGCGCTCGAGTTACAGCAACCGGAGTAAAAGGTAACTGAGCTGACCATCTAAGAGTCGTGCCCTCATAAATCATCAGGGTGTTCGTGTCAGCGATTACAAGCACCATCAACTTGCCATCCGGTTCTATAAGTATCGCACTCAATTAACACACATTTATCTTCTATTTATTAAAATAATTAATTAGGCATGTCGCATCGCGCGTCAACTATACTAGTCAATTATACCTAATCACACGGTTTTCTCTAATTTGTTCATCTTATTCTTATTTTTTCTTTCTTCGAGAAAAAATGTTTTGATGAGATCAAAATTTAATATACTTTTTTCTTTTTCTTTTTCTTTTCTCGTCGAGTTTTTAAGTCTATCGTCAATTACCTATCACGAAAGGTTGAAAACAGAGTGCCTTGTACTCGAGCCTTTTCGAGTATTTCAGAGTGACGCAATTGTCTTTCAAACAATACAGACTTTTCTCGCCGAGTATGAGAATCCCGACTTCGAAGCTGCTCAAAATAACGGCATCGATGTCGAGAACGGCTTCCCCGATATTGTAAGTCCAGTCCGGTTCTAAGTTCTTTGATTCTTCCGAGCGATCCTTACTGCCAAATTCCGCCATACTCTTATACCTGCGTAAAAAATATACAGATCTACGTATGTAAAATCTCATTTTATTTACTAGTGCAAATTATATAAATCACGCGTCCAAATTTTGGAAATATGAGAAAATATAAATTTCTGAAATAATTTTTTTTGCATTACTGCTTTTATCGTCACAACTTTGCTAGAATATAAATCAAATTATTAATAAATAATTTTGATAATTATACACAAATAATTAGGGATAATACTAAAGAATGTGATATATTATATTTTTCTTATTACAAGTTCTAGAGTGACTTTTAAATCCTTTGGCAATAAAAAGCTTTTCTTCCATTACTGTTGCGAATCTAATGATAGTGAACTGTATATCTTTCCATTCGTCCTCTCAGCTCATAATCCTGAAAGACGAGGCTGTAATCCGATATATCGCGGCCGTGTTATCTGCACACCGGCAGGTGTTCATTGACGGGCTACTTGGAATGGCATAGTGGAACAACCTGCCTGTAGCATTCGAGGATCCATGAGGAGCTTGGCGTTACGAAGATGTCGTTCCGCGAAACGTAGACGATCGGCTCTGGCAGCAACCGATTCCTGAGAACCAGACTGAAGGTGGGAGTCTCTTGCTCGTAAAAGAGAAGCGTGCCATCCAGGCACTGAATGCAAAGGAAGTCTCTACCCCGCACGCCACCAAACGGTCCCGTCGTCAAGGACGCCGGAAATCGCGGTAGTAAATGCTCGTAAGCAATTTCCAGGTCGCAATGGTTCCCTGCAAGAGTAATAAGAAATAATGATTAAATTAAATCAGTTTAGATAAAAACTTAAAATTGATAATCGATATTAAAATCAGAAAAACTAAAATTTTTAAATTTGTCAAGTTACAAAATTTATTTTATTATTTTAATTTAATCAAAAAGAATTGATTTAGGTTCAATTCTACTAATATAAAATTTATTTTATAGAGAATATTATTTACTTTAATCTTGATTTAATTTTAAGAAATAGAAAAAAATAAGTTAGAATTAGAAAATAATAGCAAGTTAAACCGAGAGTTAAAATTAATCTTACATTAATGGAACCTGAATCTTAATTTTAAATTTAATCTTGATTTAATTTTAAGAATTAGAAAAAAAATAAGTTAGAATTAGAAAATGATAATAAGTTAAACCGAGGGTTAAATCTTACATTAGTAGAACCTTAATCTCGTGATAAACTCGTGATGAACTACTTTTCAGATTTATTATTTTTCACTATATTTATAATTTCTTATCTATTTCCAAATTTTAACAACAAATTTATTAAGTTCTTGTAATAAACTTTTTAACAAAAAGTTTGTTGTCAATTGTAACAACAATCTTTATTCTTTATCCATATTCTTTTTCGCTAGTGCTTATTGGAATTATTAAATACATCACAACGCGGCTTAAGAATCTATTTATCACGCATTACGTAATGTTTATGAATACATTCGAAGGAATGTGTTTCTTGAATTTTTTTAATCGCAAGGACGACATTTGTCTAAGAACTAATAAGAAAGTCGCCCCGCATTTTTGCCAAGAGAAACAGTTTTTTCTTTGATATTAAATCAAGCCGATGTAGACATATGTGTATATATCGCAGTTAATTGAAGAAATAAATATGCGAGACGGATGTGCGAGCTCAGGCTGCGCTAGACAAGCGGCTCGAGACTCGAGACGGCGAACAATCGCGATTCCTGTCTGTATATATAGGTCAGACCGCATTCATCGTCGTCGTTTGAACGTCCGGACGAGAGCGATCAGTGTTTTGCTGAGTGTATATATATATATATATCACAACGGCAGTGTTATAATGAACGGCAGTGCCATAAAAAGTGAGCGCAAAATACAGACAAATACGTTCCCTTTATTCAGATGACGTAAATAAAAAAAGAAAACAAAGAAATAATGAATGATTGAAAATAAAAAATAGAACAATAAACAAATTTAAGTGGCTAAAATTTAAAAACAATATTACAAACACCACTACGCAAGGTCTTATGAGCGAAACAATATATAGATTTATTAAATATAAAAAGAACAAACTCAAAATATATTATAAACGTTTCGATCTTAATTAGACCATCTTCAGTATTTTTTTATAATAAATTTTATAATAAATAATTTAATTCAAACCAAGATGTTATCGTAATTATCGCGTTGGCGTTAAAAAATAGAAAATCTAAAATAAAAAGAAATGATTATATTCTTATTACATTGAAATTAAAGAGAAAAGAGAGAGAGGGGGACACAGGAAAGAGAAGAGAATGGAATATTTTTATTTGAAAATTATATGAGAGAAGGGAACGAAAAAATATAAATTACAAGTATTCAAACTTTGATGACGCAAATAAAATCCATTTTTAACCAAACGAATAAAATGTTACAATTATCTTTTACAACGTTAAATTTGGACGTTAATTAATTAATATATATATAAAATGTCTTAATTTGAAGTTTAAGAACTTGATTTCGTATTTCGTTTCATCACGGAAAATATTTATTAAAGAAAGATTTTATGAAAATGTAAAAATAATATGAAAATTGGTGGCGCCTACTTGGCGTCAGGAAGTAGACGCAACGTCTTTAATATTACGAAAGAAGTGAATCAGATAGTCGCAACTTATGCATGTGAAAATAACTAGCGTGTAATTTGCGTTTTCTCGTGTGAGCGTGCGATCGGAGCGGAAATCAATTGTGGACGGTTTTTCATCGAGGGAAATAATCGTTCTTGCTTTGCGTTCCGCGCCCCGCCAGGAATCGCGCGCTTCACGCGCTCGAAAGAAATATACGCATTCGACGACGTAATGTGTTCGACGTCGTAACGGCGCTCGCGAATTATTACGAAACGCTCAGTTGTTATTGCTGCGTCTAATATCGGTTGGACTTAACGAGATACTAGCTCGAGGCGCCTCTCTCAATCCTGGATCGAGGCTGCGAAAGCAGTCTTTAACATCGGAACGGCTGAACCGGTCATTTTTACCAGTAAACATTTTTATCAGCCACAAAGACTATCTTTAAGCGGTAAACAAAGTTAATTTTATTCCGATTTGATATATTAATAGTAGAAACTGTAAAGAAGGAAAAATGATTTTTCATGGATTGTATATCAAATATATAAAATATACATGTAAAGAATTTTTCATAATAGTATGCAATATAAAGTATATAATTTGATATTTTTTATGAACTATGTATGATACGGAAATTATTTTAAATTGTAACATTATTATATATTGTATCTTACTGTAACAGTATTATTATATCACATATTAGATGAAGATTGTGTAAGTTTTTAATGATCAAATCTATATTCCGATCTATGTGTATTTCCCTGCAGCGATCATGTGATTTTCCACATTATGTGTAGAATCGCGTAGATTGTTAATATTAATGGATAAATGTTCTTCACATAACATTCTAGGGTCAAAATTGTCTGATCCGACTCCTCAATCTTTCAAAGACATTTTAATTTCAAATTGCATGATGAAAACCTGCATCAGTCAAGGCGGAAATTGAAAAAATTTTTCTAGAGTTATGTAAATCGCTGTAGACGGAAAAAATGTCGAGAAGTGCGTACTTTATGACGTCGTATTCGAGTACATCGTATGTACTCAAGTTTTCGATTGGTCAAGATTATGAGCGAGACTGCGCGATGCGTTTTCGTACTTTGATACGCGATATCATACGATTAGGCGATTAGCATAAACACACATAAATCCATATTCATGCTTCATACATTTAAATATATATTTTATTCGTCTCACATAAAAAATTTTATGTGTCACATAAGAAATTTTAACTTTGAAAGAGACCGATAAACGAATGCTTAGGGAGAATAATTTTTAATATCAGATGTAATACTTTAATTTTTAGAATTAAATACGACGCCACCAGAAGTTTAATATTTTAAGTTTTCATTATTTTCTATGAAAAAAAAATTTTAAATTAGTTTCTCATCTCTCGAGATGTTGTAGGATATTATAATAATCGATATATTCGTCAAAATTTGAAAGTAACAGTACAAGTTACAGTCACATTTAATAACGATTTTTTTCATGCAATACTCGATAAATTGCTTCTCAATTTTCTTAATTGTATACATTTTAATTCGCAGCCGCTTCAATTATGAAGATGATTCGCAAATGTATGTTATACATTTTTGTACAACAAAAAAAAACGATGCGGTGTCAGCTTTGCAACTTGTATACAAGTTGCTGTTGATATCGCACGAAAATCATTCCGAGATATCGTCGACGAGACGCGCACGTTTCCATCTCTCATCGCCGAGGATCTTTGCGGGAATAATTTAGCGCGCTTGTGATACTCGTTAGTCTACACCGCTCGCGGTTATTTTATCTACGCAGCCAGAACTGGCTCTTGGAAGATGGGTCTATAGCTTCAAACCCTGAGGGCTTCTTCAAGACCAAACGAAAAATAATTACACGTTCCCCTCTTCCTAAATATATATAAATTACACATTGAACTCAAGAATTATAATAGTAGTAATAATACAATGTAACGGTAATGAGAGCAACAAAAATTAAAATATCTACACTTAAAAAAATGATGTATCAACATTATCTTAATTGAAAATAATTTTGTTAATTCAATAACATCATTAATGAAACAAATATATTTCCTCTTGTTTTAATAAAATTTCATTTATTTCATTGATCCTGTTGTTAAATCAACGAGATTATTTTTAATTAAAATAATGTTGTTAAAACAACATTTTTTTTTTCAGTATCTAATAATGACGACTATATTAGTAATTGTAATATAATTAATTGTTGTAGTCAATAATGAGAGATACTAATATAAGGTGATTACAAGACATGTATAATGAAATAGAAATACGTACATGTAATGCTCGACATGTTCTATCCATATATACTTTGTTGCAAAATTCTAATTAATGAAGCATATTTAAGTCAGGTTTCTGGCGAGAATTTCAATCAGACCTATACACGAGGTCCTCACGATCATTCTTATTAGTCGTTATATATCTGTGCTGGCATCTCTTCCGGCTGTTCTATTGTACGATTATTACCATACATTGAAATTCATATTTCGATAACACGCGGCGTACTGTGATGTTCAATTAAAAGAAGAGAAAAATTATAACGGAGAATACAGACTTCAATGATAATTGCTTAATTTCTACCTTTGTTAATTTCTACCTTTGTTAACGTGCATATCTTCAGTTAAGACGATGAAACAATGATTTATTTTCTATACGGAAAGAATGTGCTAAAGTATTCTAAGATATTATCAGTATATCTAAAAATTTAGCTAAATACAAATAAAAAATAATTTTGTTAGACTATTAAAATAATTATATAAAATGTTTTAATAATTGTTGCTAAAATATCAAAACTTTTTGCAGTACTTTTTACGCTCATTACATTTTAGCATCCTACACAATTAATTTAATGGTCCAACAAAATTATTTCTGGATCTGTAGCTAAACTTTTATATATTTCAAAATTATAATTCCATAAACACACCATTCTTTAAAACGTATTATTTAATAATAAGAAGAAATACATAATTCATAATAATTAATAATTAATAAGAAAAGACTTATATAGTTAAGTATTAAATTAAAGATGAATTATAATAAAAATGTGTTCGAATAGAATTTTAATTTGTTATGATTTAATATAATAATGTATATTTTTAATGTATATTATTATAATGTATATTATAATATAATAATGTATATTCTGATACAAACCGTGCTCAACGGAACCTTGACTCAAAATTATGCTGTAAATGACAAGTTTTTTTGGTGTCAGTATCGCGAGTCGAGTATCTGATGAGCCTCTGAAACAGATTAGTATAGTATATCAATAAAAATATAACATTTAAACAAACGACGATGTTGCAAAGTGCATTTATTAAAGATAATTTTTTAACAGAATGACTTTAGTTTAAAATTTTAAATAACATTCTAAAGTTCTAACGAGACATTAATAGATAAATTTCTTCATATTTATTTTTAGCGTCTGTGTAATTTATCTAATTTCATTCACAATTATATATCAAACATAATTTAATAATTTAACATATTATTTAAATAATATCATGCGTGTATATTAATTGGTAATTTTAGCATGCACATAAAACGAATCTTTGTAAAATTTTATCTATTATCTATTTATCCTTTCTTTAATTGTTACATTTTTTTAATTTTAAATTTACATTTTTATAAATTAAATTTAAATTAATTTTATTTTATCGTAATTGATTTGAATTGAAATTATTTCTTGTTGTTTTGGCTTTCACAAAAATTTTCATCACAAGGTCATGCATTTCAGAGTTAAAAACGTGCAATTCTTCATTCGACGTCAATAATCCTTTCACTTCACAAATCTCACGATCTCACTTACGAGACGAATTTGCCCGCCTTCATATCGACGATACAGTCGCTGATTTGTGTCTCAACGATCAAGTCCGAGGACTTGTAACCGCTAGGCGACTTGGTCTCTTCTATCCATTGCGAGAACGGGCTATATATTCGGAGGTAGCCGCTGTGGCTGCCAATGACAATGATGTCCTTTCGGTCAGCGCCGAACAATGGCGTGATCAGCAAGCTGTGTTTATCGAAAGATTCATTCACTCCGCATTGCGTTCTCCACCATTCATTTGTCTTGAACAACGACATTTCCAAAATATTTCAAGAATTTGGTAGCATCGTGACACGGACAAGGACAAAATGCAACTAAACACTAGGGGTTTACACGACGGTGGTTGCTATGACAACTTTTGTTTATAGCAACGCGTCGCCACAACAAGTCGGCGTCTCGAAGCTAAAGCTAATCAAAGACGCAACAAAATTGTAGTGTAACTCCACATTATCTAAATCGTGAATGTCGAAGTATATGCGTATTACAGGAATCAGCAACTTACTCTAAATTAGTCTAAATGGCACATGACTTTCTTAAGCTTCAAAACGGGTCTATGATACGAAAGAAATATACTTGCTTATTTAGGATATTTAATTTCCGATTCAGCGACTTATTAAATTTTTTTATTTAGAGTTTTTAATAATTTTAAAAATTTTGATCTATTACAAAAATTTAATTGATTAAAAATATTCAATTCCCATTCAGCTATTCATCTTTTTTAGCTTATAATTTTTAATATTTCAAAACCTTCGACATTTTAACATTGTCATTGTTTTATAATATATATATATAATCAATTCACGCAAATTTAATAGCACGCTACATTTTCTGGCATATATTTCTTAATATCTTCGCATTAACACTTCAATAAATTATAATTGCTTATAAAGATATTTATTTCGTATGAAATTCAGTGGTCCATTAAATTTCTTTAGTATTCTTTAAAATTTTTAATAACCTTAATAAAGACAAGAAAAATCTATTTTGTCTTTCGATTCTAGATGTTAAATGTAATAATTTAATACGATATAATTTGTGTAACAATTCTGTAATAACACTATTCAACACCCGGAAGATTTTTTTTGTGCTGAATACAATGTGTCGTTGGCAGAATTTGCATAACAGGATTTTAAATAAAATTGAGGTAAAAAACCTGATGAAAACAGGTAGTATCCATGTATTTTGATTGACCGTGGATTAAAAATTTATTCACGTAATATCCACATGATTGCAACGTTGACATTTTCTTGCCAAATCGAGATCAATTTTCATCAAAATTTTTTTTTGACATAGATTCTACGTAGACACTTCCATATAGATTTTAAGATGTAGAATCTACATGGATTATATAATATCGTTTATATATAGTATTGTTTTCGAGTCGGATTGTCATTCGATTGTTCACGTAGAATCCATGTCAAATCCACATATTGTACCTCTGTTCTCGATGGATATTACGAGGAATCTTGTAGGAAAAATCGATTGGAAATATCAATTCGATTTTTACGTGGATTCTAGTATCGTTTTTGAATGGACTGTCACGCGATTATTCACGTAGAATTTTGAACATTTTTTAAAAGACAAAACCTGATTTTAAATAAAATGTACATCTAAAAATTCAAGAGCTCTCAAAGAGCTTTCGCATTCAAGAACTTTCAAATAAATTTTAATTCATAATCGCGGCTTGTTTCCATTAAAGTATAATTATTTGAATTTTAAACTTTCTGTATCTATAATTACATGGTTCGATAAAAAATTATTCTTTTTTTTCTTTGGAGTGCTATATTCGATTATACGCTATATTATTATTTATAAAAAATTGATATGTACTTAGAATGAAAATTATAAGGTTATTGTACTGAAAGATTTAATTCTTCATATAGACGGAGCATAATTATTAAAAATAAAGATGTATTCCCATTACAAAAAATAATCATTGATTGTTCACTTCATTTTAGTCAGTTTTAGTCAGTTTATACGTTGATGAATTATAAATAATAAGTTATTTTTTAATTCTGCTGTATAAATATATATAAAGTTTAAAATTTAAACAAATTAATAAAAATAATAAGTTGTAATCACATATAAATTCATTTCAAAGTATTTCATTTATATTTTTAGATGTCATAGACATTATTAGGAATAAAATCTTTTTTTTTTGTTAAAAACGTCCAAATATATCACTCATACAGCATAGAATTTGCAATAATATCGCTGCAAAATTTCTACAATATTGCTGCAACATGCAGTGTTGTTGTAATGTTACAGTGACTACAACTTTTGTGCAACTTTATGCTGCAAGGGCATTTTTTTTATTCACTTCATCTTAATTTATTGAAAATCTATGCAAATTTTGCCAATGGCAATGTGGCATTGTGTTCAACACGAGAAAAATCTTTGGAAGATGTACTACTTTAAAGAGAAAAAAAAAGTAATTTATTTATTGAATAGAGTGATATTATTTATTGAATAGATTTATTTATTGAATTTATAATTATATAATAATTTAGAAATTTAGATGTAATTTAATTTAACAGGCTCATTTTTGTATTATGTATAAACATTATCGTATATCTAATAACTCATTTTTGGTGGATGGGAAAAGGTTTTATATACAATAAAACAAAGTCTATCTCTAGATTTTATTACATAAAAACTATATATATGTATATATATATATATATATACATGATATAAATAAAGTATATGCACTGTTTAATTCAAAAATATAAATCGCGATTAATACATTTGTCGTATTTATCAGTAATATATCTGCCATATATCCAATATCGTCTAGTTGAAAAGTATATAAATTCGTAGGATTCATACAGGGTGAATCAGAGTCGTTGAATCAACTTTTTACCCTACGAGAAAATTATCGACTTCATTCTTAATTAAATTATAATGTGTGCAATCAATTATTTTCTGAGGGTAAAAAGCTGGTTAAATGACTCCGATTCACCCTATATATTCGTAATATATTTTTCTCATTGCGTAAATTGGTATAATATCTTGTCAGCAGATGTCACTACAGTATTCGATTTCTAAATGACAACAGTTGGAATGATAGATTTCCAACTGCTTTAAAAATTTAAATAAAATATTATTTGTATATGTATAACAGTTAATAAATCCACGATTAATTGAAATAAAATTGTTGGAGAAATAGGGATTTGTCATCCAAAATAGAATGAATTGAGAAAACGCATAATTAAATTTAAAACATATATGTTAGTATAATAGTATTTTGTAATTTTGTAACATCAGATTGTATTTTAAACACGTCACTAGTTTTTTTTATTGTAAATTAATACACATTTTATTAGAATTATTCTCAAATTCTCTATTTCTCAAATCATGAGAAAAAATGTCTATGATATTGATAATTGATTCTTATGTTTATATATAGAAAGAATAGAAATGCTATTATATATAGTACATATATGTAATAATTTTTATTAAAAGTATGTTAATTATAAATGCAGTTCTCTTTATTAGTCGACTTCAGCAAAGACGCAAATTTCCTTCGAAATTGAAATAGCTGCAATACCATTGTAGTACACGTTGAGAAAATTTTGAAGGATCAGTTTTCTTTTTAATAAGTAAAATTACATACACATCTTTTACTATTAATTTACTATTAATTTACTATTAATTTTACTATTAATTTTTATTACTAATTACCATAATATGTTATATTAATATGTGCGCTAAATTAATATTGACTATCGGCTTCTCTCCGTTAAAATCGCGGAAAGAATCTGCAAAGTAATCAAGTTAATTTGCTTGCTACATCAGCAGATATTTAGAAAGTTTTAATTTTTTTTAATTTTGTCAAATCAATACATATTTTTCTCGCAAGTCTAATTTATTGTACTCGCGCGCGTCGATGATTCCAGATTTCCTTTCTTCTATCATAGTTGGAATTGTCTCTTCTAGTGTATTCATACTTTGTCTGTAAAAGATTAAGATAGTAATTGTATGTATAAAAAAGTTTTCTTTTTTAATATTACCTTTTATGCCATAACAGTTCGAAAGCAAATATAATTATGCTAAATAGCACTCCGTAGCCTATTGTGATTATCGCAAAATAGCATTCCGTAAAACCGATGGTGATGAAACCAGTCTGACTCGAGCAAGTCGGTTTTTTTATGTATATGCGATACTCATCGCGATACATGAGCCCATATTCTCGCAATTTCAAAGCTCTGAAAATACTTTTGTCGAGTACTATAATACTATTAGAATTTATCTGGCATTTTATACAAATGCAACACAATCTTCTTTGAGCTTATTTTTTTTTTATACAAAATTACTCTTAAAGGCGATTGAAAGATCAATATTTAAAAAATGATAAATATCATATATGAAAATATTAATTAGACATTTTTTGGACTTTAATAATTAATTCTATATTAATTTGTATGTATAAATTTTATTTAAAAAAATATATTATGCAAAGCAAATGAAATAATATTTTGGGTACCATCCTGTATTTCACAAACTGGTGCCTTCAACCAATTTCGACTTGTGATACCACTTATGGTTAGCAGAATTTTATCAAAATATAGTATTTGCTCATACAGTTAAAAAAGCTGCGTATATTCCACAAATATAATTTTAATAATAACAAGTATAATTTTAATAATTTTAAGATAATCAAATGACATTTTGTGCGCCGTATTATATATTAATTCTTAATATGCATTATACAGTAGAGACTACTATATAAACTTGAAGCATGTGTTTTTTGACAAAAATTCTCATATTAAACTTTAATTTGTGAATTAATTCGTATTCAAAAGTGCAATGTATATGAAAACTTACCCATTTTTTATTATCTCCAAATAAGGTGATTTTTTCGCAATTGCAATAACCGGGTATATCTCATTCAAATAATCGATCTCAGTTAGGCCACATTTCTCTTCTTCCTGATAGGTGTGCTGCATAAGTTGATACATCGGACTTCGTATACCATGAAATGCAAAAGGTTCATTTTTTATACGGTGTACTCCTTCTTCGAGACTCATCCAATTCGGTTTGTGCCCTTTCGGTTCAACCTTCTGCTCCACGATTGCTTTTCTGATGGGGTCTTGAAAAGCCTATACTTCAATAAATTATTGAAATTTGAAAAAGAAAATTATTTTTGTCAATATAATCATTTGTTATATAATTTTGTTTTAAAACAATTATCTACCTTGAAATAATTTCGATTAAATACTATATCTTGTACTCCTAAATTTAACGGACTATGCAAGAGATCGGAAAGGGTTTTGATCGAGTCTGTGGGAGTTTGCAACAGAGCCACTATATTTGCCGTGTAAGCTGCATAAAGACTCAGCGAAGTCAGTAATAACATAAGAATGATGATTCGAGATGGAATTCTATATGGCTCATATGAATATCCTACAAATGTACGGAAGCAATAAAATTCCTCTATTTTTAACTCTCATAAATACTTCAAATACATCGTTATTTTTTAAAGTAGTGTTACGCAATTTATCTTAAAAAAGAGCTATTTTCAAATATATAGGTATATATACATACATATATGTATATATTATATGTATATTATCACATATTTTATGACGCCGGACGACACCTGACGCCATCGGACAGCGATGGAATAATGTTATTACACGACTTATTACACGACTGTACATTTTGCGTAAAAAAATAACCAAAATGATTAATTTTTAATTTTATCTCATCAATAAAAAAACAAAAAATCAAGATTATTTATAAAAATCAAATACTTTACAAATATGTCATACATTTATGTAATATAAATTTTTTAAATATTAAATTCTTAAAAATATGCAATAATAAACGATTTATTAAGAGTGTATGTGTATAATACATAATAAAAGTTTAATGTCTATTATGGTCAAAATTAGATCTTAGATGCTTTTTAAATAATTTCTATGTAGATTTGTATACTAAATATGTATACTAAATATTGTTTTTATTTGTTATTTGAACTACGCGCCGAAAAATTATTTTGGCGCAGTTCAAATAACATATTTAGTATACATATTACTACATATATAACTACATATTTAGTAAAATTCACATAGAAATTATTTAAAAAGCATCTAAGATCTAGCTTCGATTGTAAGAGGCATTAAACTCTTACTTGTTGTATTTTAAAGATATTTTAAAATGCATTTTAAATTTGCGTAAAATAAAAAATATAATTTTATATTTTTGGCTGTGAGCCGACGGATTGCAAGTTGCGTATCACTACTCTAACTCTTTCGATGTAAATTTGAATCTTTATATTTCTCTCGTTTAGATTTTTAATCGCATTACATGATCATTTAATTACGTGATCATTAATAAAAAGAAGAGCAAAAAACAGAAAATATTAAAGATTTTATTTCATTCATCAGAATGAGAATGAAAATTGAGAAGCGATTCCAGAATAGTACATATAAGTTCTAATAATTCTACATAATAATAGATAAAATAAAAATAAAAAGCTTCTACTATATTTTACAAATTTATTTTTTGAATATTTTTATTTACAAGTTAAGATTTAAGTTAAGATAAAAGCTTTTACATTAGATTATACCTTGTTGCGCAAATGCACCTAAAATGACGAGGAGATTATCGATGATTGTTGGTTTGCTAATATTTAATTGATTCCAGTAAGCTGCCGATTTTTTCGAAGTACCTCGATAGTGTTCCCATTTCATAGACATGTATAGCAAGCAAAAGACAAGAACAAGAAATATACCGATTGCTATCCAGACATTTCTTTGAAAGGGTAAGGTGAAGATGTTTTTTATGGTCGATAATAATGGTCGTCGAAACACGAAACACAAACTGTAATTTATGTGTTACGTCAATATTAGTATTATATATTATATATATTAGATTCTGATAAATAATATTGGCTATGTTTACAATGTAAACTTTACATCGTGGGCTTAATCCGCGATCTATACAATAGATATCCTTGTTTATCCTGTAAGAAAAGACACATATCGTATAGGTCGTAGATTAAACGTACGGTATAAACGTAACTAATATTAAGAAATAAAGATACGATAGAAAAACAATGGAAAAAATATAGATACGATAGAAAAAATGTTAAGTCATAATGCTAACAATATTATTAATAAATTACATATTAATTTTAATATAAAATCTGAATTTATAGATTAATTAATGATATGCTAATCAAATAAATAATATGAAAAATTTGTTGTTGAAATTGGAGCTTCAAATATGTAGATAATATATTACAATAAATTGTAGTTAACAGAACTCAGAAGCATTAGGGTAATTTCCGTTTGAACTTCGAAATGTAACCGTTTCTTGTAAATTGTTTATTCAACATTGAAAATGACTCGAATGGTCGAACAAACATCTGTTTGAATGTTTAAATAGATTATTTAATATTAGCAAACAATATCTAGCTTTTTGCTCATAGCCTTTTACATATTAGTTGTAACTGTTTTATTTAATTGAGCATAATATAATATTATTTTATTAATATAATTATTATACATAGCTACGTTAAAAAATATACTAAATTTTAATAAATTTGTTTGAATATATAATATAATAGAACAATCAAAATTTTGACTAATTAGATTTTAAGTGTTATTTTACCCAGAGCGTGTGTATAATTGAATGTATTCTAATATATGAATGCGATTCGTCATCATATACATAGGAGTGCCGCCAATGTCAATTTCATGTCGTTGCAGCATCCCGATCATCCCGTCCCAGGAGCCATTGTTAATATTGACAATACGTCCCCAGTTATTGGAAACGTTGAAACTTATTCTATAAAATGGAAGAACGAGATACTTTCTCGCGTTCGACATTCGATAATGTCAGATTTTACATTTTATTTTTGCTGAATAAGCGCATGACTTATATAATTAAACGGCTTCATTTGTACGCTAATTATATTATATTAATCTGAACGAAAACGATTTTATCATATATTAGGTGTAGTAAAAAGAAATCCATTATTTTTGCATGAAATTGAATGGAAAAATAATGGATTTCTTTTTACTACACCTTACATAATTATGTGATCACTTTAAGTTAATTGATTAATATCATCAATTATAATCATGTAATATAATAATCATTATAATTAGTTTTTATAATAGCTTTATTATCATTTTAAACTTGCATTTAGGATTGTTAAATTTGTAAAGTAATTGACAAACCGCTTTTTTATTCTTCTAAAATTTTCTTCATAAGCCTTTTAATGATACAGTATATTTTACCATCAAACAAAACTCACGTTGCGTTCATCCGGTTTATTAAATGAAGTATCCAAATATAATTCACCTTTGTTACAGGATCTATCATATTATATTTAAAATCAGTTAAGTGATTGATCGTGTTAGGATCTGTCATCTGCAAAGATGAAAATATGTATTTTTATACGCAAAAAGTTTTGAATATCTAAAACTAAACATATAAATTAAATTGTAGCGTAATTTTTTTTTATTTTAAAATAATAGTAGGATACACTATTATTAAATGCTTGTAAATGAAATATCATATATCATTGATATGATAATTGATATAATACGTTTCATTGCGCAGCAAGTGCATGAACACCAAGTGTTCAAAGTACCACAAGACAGGACTTAAGATGTGACTGCTGAAGATTCCTTCTTCTTGCCGAAGCCACATCGAAAGTACTCATTTGTAAACCATTTTTGATTGTCCAGTTTCCACGATTTTCCCATATTACTGTTCGTTGTGGACTCGGTCGATATACTGATGTCAATTGAAGAAAATCATTATCGAATCTTCGAGCGAATATCACGTCACTGTCAGGATAGATAGCTAAACCTTCAAAGATCTCTAAGTTATCATACGTAGAAGTTACGTTGGCGTTATCGATCAACATTCTTCGATCTTGAAGGAGCAGCCACTTCATCGGGGCGATGAACATTTTCTTCGAATGTGCCTATCGCGTGATGATCAGATGAATAATTAATTGATTTAAACGGATGATAAAAAAATTCCCTATAATTAACTCATATATGCCATGAAAATTAATGACTTCTCTTTTATTGATGGATTGTAATCAATGTTAGATTGTACAATCATGAATAAATGTATTTTTAAAGTGGAATTATTGATATAAATTATTACGAATACAAATGGAAATTATTGGAAAAACTTTTGTTTTTTTTTTTTTTTAATGAGATGCTGGGATTTTCATAGAAATTATGTATTATATTTGTGCTCGCATCTTACTTGCAACAATGTTCGACACCTACCTGTTGTAAAATTTTTATAGCGTAATCACAGTTCAAATCTAGCACATATAGATTCTGATATTCCAAATTGTTATAAATTCTTTCTTTAAGATCATCGACAAAGTTATGAATGCAATGTGCCAAATAATGATTCGACATTTCCTTTGATAATTTAATCGTATCATCTGAGAAAAAAAAACAATATAGAACCAATTAAAATTTTTGAGATATTTTTGTACGCCCGAGAAAAAATGTTATATTTATGGACATATTTTATATATAATTATATATATTGGATTGTCCGGAAAGTTCGTGTCGATTTTGAAGGAAAATTGAAACGCAGAAGATTTAAATTTTAGTATACATTTATTATATTTAAATTTTTTGCGGCACGAACTTTCCGGACAACCCAATAATTGTATATAAACTATATCAATTTTTTATATAATTATATATAATTTTATATAATCATATTATATATGTGAAACATTTTTTCTCGAGCGCCTTTTTATGTAAATTAAAATTATTATAATTTAGAATGATGTAACGATATATTCTATTTCAAAATTAATAAAATTTATAGTAATATGATAGTTTATATAACGTTATAAATTTAAAAATTTCTCTTTCTCAATATTTTACTTCAAAATTTATGATTAGTTTTATTCTTTTAATCATATTCACATTTTCAACAGTCTCGGAAATTATAAATAACGTAAATTATAAATTATAAATTCGAAAATCTTGCCATAGCTGATGCACGTATATAGAGATATCCTTGATGGCGAAAATAAAATGGGCATCGCATCGACGATAAATCGTAGAATCGCATCGTCGATCCGACGAGAGAATGTAGTGTCGAACGACACTGCAAGGATGCATAGAACGACAAAAAACATTCCAATCGCTTTTTGTATTCACTAAGCGATTGCAAATAGATCCCTTCAGGATTGTCAACAGTATCGATTATACATCCGTTATAACCGTAATCTTTTTGCGTATTGTCGAGTTGGGATATTCTCATTCATAAGAAAATCACTTATGAATCCAAAAAAAATAAAAACGTAAAGGGAAATAGATACAATAAGTCGATTATTGCCACACATAAAATATTTAATGTTCGTGACGGACGCTACATTGATGCGATATGTAGTTCGCAAAAAAGGACAATGAAGAGATAATAGGTGTAATGAGTGGAATATTATCGTACATAAAATATTTAGCATTCGTGACGGATGCTACGTTGATACAATTAATGTATAGCTGATGGTTTTCTCTAATGTAGCTTCAAAACATGTGGTTTTAGGATTTCATCAGCTTTTATCGTTCTCATGATTCCCTTTCGACAGAGTGATTATTCAAAGCACAATTTGAGTAATGACAGTGCAAGAAATCCGCTGCAAGAAACTCAGAGTCTGCATTATATTTTATGTGTGAAAAACCGCAGCTGAGATTTTACGTACTCTATCACGCAATATAATTTTTATGACATTTCTTCTTATATTTCTGCGTATATTTTATCGACGAAATTTTTCTTGCATACCACGACATAAACAATTTTTTCATTGCTTATATTGTTATATAAGAAATTTTACAATACATACAGTACAATAAAAATGGAAATAGTGTTTAATTTTAAATATTGACACATTGAACCTGTTTATGACACGCGTAACTTTATGTTAGGAACAAGATTTACATTATCTCTTCTTTTTAAACAAATTATAACGCAGTAATAAGTATAACTCTATGTGTGAATCTATATAATATTATAAATACTATCTTATCTTTGAATTATTCGTATCTATGTGCTGTGTAGCGCACAATCGTAAGTAAAACCATAAAATATAACAAGCTCAACTCGCGTAAAATTATTAGATTAAATGAATTTATCACTGCGACTTGTGCTACAAATTATGTCCATCCGGACGAGACTTAAGAGAGCATAATTTACTTTGAACAACTTCCACGTCTATTCCATCTGTCTTCAATGTGTGTCTGTTCATAGCTTCCCTTCAATTTGCGATATTAATTGTAAGGTAACGTACATCAGTGTAACGTCAATAGGAAATGTCAATAAAGGAAAAATAATCTCTTTATTATAAAAAAAATAAACTCTTCGATTAAAAATATATCACGCTTTCGGATTTTTGTCTTACAAAAGAAAATTCTTCTACAAAACAATTGCTTGATAAATTTTGTTGACAGTTTTGCGTGATAAGTTAGTATTAGTCATACTAATACTAACTTATTTATCTCTGTGTGAGACAAGAGTTCTTCTTTCAGTCTCTTTATCAATCATGTACTTTATGAATCTGATAGTATCATGTAATCATTGATACAATATCATACATTCCAACATGTTCTATTAATATTCTCGATTATATGCACATTTCACATATTCGGAATTATCAGTTTATCTGCAATACAGGATAAACAAGATTTATGAACGATTCTCTTCTTACTAATAATAACTCATGAGAGACGATTTGATATTCTCCATCAGTTCTGCATTTTACGTGCTATTAGGATACCAGTTATGCAGCGGAGGAAATTTATTATTAAAATTTACAAAAAGATATGACAAATTTACAAGAGATGATCATACATATATTTTTTACGCTAATTATAAATAAAAATAACAATTACATTTTTATTTAATATTTATTATATTTATTGTTGTATAAAAGAGAAATAAAATTGATATTAAAAAATAATTCTAATAATACCTATTATTGCGATAAATTGTACGTTGAATCAAAAATAAAGAGCGAAAGGATTATTACAAAAATAAAATTCAATATTCCATATTTCTACTTTAGATTTTTACATTTAACTTCAATAGAAAAATTTAAATTATATGTTATTATTTTATATTGTTCTAACGAAACGGAAAAAAATTATAATTGTTAATAAATTTTACTGTAATAGCAATCAGTAATTATGTAAACTGTAAACAATTTTTTTAAGAATACTAATTGCTATTTGCCAATATAATTTTGCTAAAACTACAAATTATTTTGCTGCAAGAACAAATACATTAACTTTTGTTTAATTATCAAAACTTTTTTAGTGCACTAGCAAAACAATATAAATAAGCAAAACATATTTGCACATTAGCATTATTTAGTAGTATTTTTTATTGCGCTGTTTAATAGAAATATTTTATAACAAGATGACTTCGTAATATCAGTTGAGAATTGAATTCACGACGATCTTTCCCATGATAGAAAACAATGCACAAATCTGTCAGCAGATGGCGACATGCATTCTACTCGTCAGCTGATTACTTCTGAAATGTTTAGTTATCTCCTTTAGATTGTATGTAACCGAATGATTTCTTTGATATTCGGAAGAATGACACTTAATCAGAATATTGTAATTAATATTTTGAATTGAATTAAGTAACACAATTGTAGGAAGAAGATATTTCAGGATGGAGCCTCAAGATATTTATTACAACAAAGCTGAATATGTTGAAACGGTAATAATCAAAGGAACTGAAGCATGCGACATTAATAAGACATTTATATTCATAATTAGGAAGGAATATTATAACATTACAACCTCTGTTGTTAAGAAATAGATGCTATAAAAACAATTTAACAAATTTAGTAACATCTTTCGTATCCATAGATATTTAAAATGTGATACGTAACCTCATTTTTTCGCTATTTTAGGCTTCTGGAAATAAGGTAAGCAGGCTGACCGTATTATGTGGCTCGCAAAATATTGTGCTACATGGAAAAGTAATAGTGCAATCTGACGCTATCATTAGAGGCGATCTGGCCAATGTTAGAACGGGTCGCTATTGTATTATTAGCAAGAATGCTGTCATCCGGCCGCCTTTCAAGAAATTCAGCAGGGGGTAAGTAAAGTTCTTTACTGTATTAGTGTATTGATAGTTATAATGAATATTAGTTTTAATATGAGATAGCTTGCAAATGAAAACGACAATTATGCTAAATTCTGAAGTGATAAACCTTGCTTAGGGTTGCCTTTTTTCCTCTAACAATGGGAAATCATGTGTTTGTGGGAGAACGGGCAGTTGTGAACGCAGCATTGGTTGGTTCTTATGTTTACATTGGAAAGAATGCTATAATTGTATGTGTAATGACTTTTACTTGCCAAATTAAGTGAGTATGGTACAATTCCTTCACCATTAATCGTACTTGTCTCGTTATAGGGCAGGCGGTCTGTTCTGAAGGACTGTTGTTACATTGAGGATGGTGCAGTTGTACCACCAGAAACAATTGTGCCGTCCTTTACTCGTTTTGCTGGCAGTCCAGCCACATGCGTCGAAGAGCTGCCTGAGTGTACTCTGGATCTCATGGTAGACTTCACGAAGAATTACTATGAGCACTTCTTACCAGCACGTGTTTAATCTTCGTTTATTTATGTATGTATAATAGCGTACAATCGAAATATATATTCTTTTCAAATGTATTACACATTTACATTTTGCATTTAAGATGAAATAATATATAATTAAATATATTTATATA